TTGCGCCTGGAAGGAGCCCCGGCTTCTGCCTTTGGTCGCCTTTCTACCCCTCCCTCTCCAGCCAACATCTCGCCTCAGTGGCCTTGAGGCACAGTCCAAGCCCCAAGTGCCCCTGTCCTCCTGCCTGGACTCACCTCCTACCGGAGACCAAAGGACGCCTTAGATCTCTCAGCGCCCTTCTGCCAGCACTTAGGGGCTGAGCGATTTTCTCCCACAGAGGATTCCTCCCAGGGGTCTCTAAGGGCTAAGGGGGACATCCTCGTTTGAGAGTCTAGCTGGCTGAGATGAAGGTCAGGCCTCCAGTCCTGGGCACAGCCACTCACTGCTGGGAGCCCTGAGATCTGGCTGGGGATGACAACTTGCACAGAGGGTTCCTGGGTTCCCTTCTCTGGGGAACTTGACTTTTCTCTGCTGGGAACTGACTTTAGTCCCAGCAGGGAGTGGTCAGTTTCCCAGAGTTTCCAGATTCGTTTCCTGCCGTGCTTTATGGCTTAGAGGGTAGGTTCCTCTCCACTGGGGCAAGGAGATGAGGTCAGAAACAGAAGTTTGAAGGATGAAAGCTGAAGAGAACAAGGTTTCAGATATCGCTCCCCAACTCTCTGTTGTCTCCGCCATCTCCTGCCCCCACCACCAGAAAACAAACAAAAAACCAGTTCCTCTACCTCGCAGGCAGCGGTCCCCCTTTCCTCCCAAGTTTTCTGCGGTTGCCTCATCTCCCTTTTACTCTTGGGGCACAGTACCAGGGATTGCTTCTCCCACGCAGGAGCAAGTCCTGGGCTGGACTTTGCAGAGTCAAGCGGAAAAGTAGAGCCGAAAGTAAGCAGTCACCCCTGCGCCCTAGCTCACTTCTGCCTAGCCACGTGAGCCCCCAGAGAGGCCTTGCCCTTCCAGAGTCTAGATCCTACTCTCTTGGGCAAGGTATCTGCACCGTTCTTAACCGTCACCTCCAGCCTCAGCCTGGAGCAGGCGAACCCACCCATCTTTCACACTCCCCTGTCCTGCTCCCACCTCCCCAGGGGCCGCCCTGGGAAAGGAGAGAGTCGGAAGAGCTGGCGACATGGAAGCTTTGGACCTTTCCCCGGCGGTCCGGGCCAGGCGTGGAGAGAATCTCTGGTTTCTAAGCGGCCACGCAGGGGTTGTTGGCAGCGCCCCTGAGCGAAGGCCAGGGATGGGTGTACAGGGCATGCTGCTCTCATTTCTCTACTCTCCCTGAGCTGCCGCTGCTGCCTTGAGTCGGGCCACCAGGGCCTTCTGGTGAGCCGCCTGACATCTCCCGGGTGAGGGGCAAGCGGTCAGGCCCCAACGCCTCTTTTTTGCTTCGAAGGGTCTGGCAGATGCCGGCTGGCAGCAGCCTCACCCGCCTTACTCAGGCGCTGCACCAACTTTGAAGGAATATTTGTTAGGGGAACAACAGCAACAAAAAGTTATTAACGTCAAATAATTCTCTCCAGAATCATGTGCTGTGGAACATAAAAGGTCACATAAAAATTCCTCTGACGGAATGAAATTTCCTAACAGGAGGAGGGAAGAGTTCCCAACACTCCACAAGAATATGCCTGATCTTAAAACCCAGTGATTTATAATGGCTAATTTGTATTACAAACCCACAAGAAACTTTCTTTTTCCCACTCTCCTGCCAGACTCTGTGACCATATTTTTCTTTCTTTCTTTTTCTTTTTTGTCTCCTTAAAAAAAAAAAAAAAAAACTCAGAAGAAACACTGGTGGGAGGAAAAATATAGAATCCAAATGAAAAAGGATGCAGATTCAAAGTTACTCCACAGCAAGGTTTCCTACTGCCATTCTTTGGTACACCAAGAGTTAATAGTATCCAATCATAACAATCAAAATCCCCTTCATATCTCTCTGATGGGGTCCTAATGCTCCCCTGTCTCTCTAACGTCGGTGACAACTACATCTTTGTGGGGGTATTTATTTCCTTCTCTTTTCTACATGACAGTTCCCATTCTGAAAGCAGAGAGCTATTTGCCGCCAACTACAGACCACTCCAGAGCCCAAGCTCTTCGCAGGAACCGCATACGGAAGTACCCCCCCTCTCCAAAAAAAGAAAAAAGAAATTTCAGACAAAGACCTATAAAAACTCAGAAAGACGTGGAAGGAATAAACTTGAAGATATAGATGCACTTTTACTAGTGTATTAAGCAACATTTTAGACATTTTTTAAAAGGAAATACATCTTGGTGTTACCAACAGTCAGAATTCTAGGAACAATAAGAGAGGCCAGGATTGTTTTGATGAGATATGATAGTTTCTAAAACCTGTAACAGCTAAGCCAAGCAGAGGTGTTATTAAACTAAAGGAAAGGTACCACATTATAAAGTTAATTAACTTTTTTTCTTTGAAGGAGGAAACAAATTTTCTAGCTTTCCACCAGACACCAGAACAATGTGAAAATATTCTGATTGTTTCTTTATCTCCACAATCAAGCAAAGCCTTAGAGAAAGCAAAAAAGCCATTTTCTCATGCTCCCATACCTGGCTCCAGATAAGGGGCATGGAAATAACACTGGCTCAAGTTCTGCAAACGTGGGCAGAGTGATTCCATGGTTTGCTAGTTGGGTGGCAGGCCACTGTCACTTTTGTATTGTTTCCCATCCTGAATCAAGTAGTGAGAATAGGTATCAGGAGCCTGGTTCTCTCCTACCATCATCTGCCGCCTGTTAAGAGACTATACATCACTGAAGAAGTGAACTTTCCTAAAAAGGGAACATGTGTATATAAAACTGAGTTGTACAATCCATTGAGTCATATTGTCAAAATTCATAGCTCGAGACACATCTTCTTTTATTTTAAATAAGCACTGTCCCTTTGCCTTACTCACTGAAATTTACAAGCAAGCCCAAAGAAAGACACACTTTTACCTTGACCCTTACTTCATTATCTTTCTTTTCCCCTGGATAAGCTCTGTTCTTTGCCTCATTCTTTAACTTCTGTGTGAATTCAGTGGAATACAGAATCGGAGTTCAACAAACTGATTGAAAAATCAACAAAGACAAATCACAGAGATGAGTGATGGAAAGATAATTTCACCCTGCTCCTTAACATCACTCAAACTGCTTCCAAAGTAAGCAAATGAAAAGCAAATGAATGCAACTCTAGAAACACATGTGCAGGTACCAATGCATCCAAATGCCATTTCTCCTCATTGTTGATGTTGCTGCTCTCCATTCTTTGCTTTGGGACAAATAAGAATATAAAAAGATGAGTGCCTTTAACAAAGCCATTTCATCAGTTTGGCCAACCAGTGTATAGCCTTCACTAGTAGTAGCAGGAAGGGAAGGGAGAAGGGTGCTTTTGTTGTACTCTCATATATAAAGGAGGTTACTTCGTGGGAACCGAGAATGTTGAGAAGTGCCAAGCATAATATTTGTGGCCATTCCCTCCATCTGACCTTCACATAACTCCTTCCCACATGATCATTTCTCCCCCATCTTACACTATAAATTTAAAAAGTGACATATTTTGTGGAAACACAGGAGCACTTTCAGGGTGGCTGTATTCTGCATTATTGTCTTTAGGGGCACGAAAGGGTTTGTCATTGTGGCTAGCCAACATCCTAGGGACTGCTGCCCCACAAATTTCTCCCAATGGTGATGATGGAGTTTTTCACCTTAGTGTGTAATACATTCCCAAAATCAGCATGAAAACTGCCTGAGTAGCTTTAGGATCTTAACAATGGCAAGCATGAGTCAAAACCATGGTGTGTCTGTTTAACGTGTAATGGTTTCCAGTCAGTAGCCCCTGTGGCTAAGGACAAAAATGCCTTCTCAAGGTCCACTAAAATGCCCTGCAGAGGGCAGATGCTGCTTGTTTTCCGCCTACAGTGAGTACGATATTGACCCTCAATGCAAATCTATACCCAGCTTAAACATCCTACCCATCAGCATGTCTGTGGTCACAAAACACTTCTTCTTTCTGTCACTTCTCGTTCAGACTATTGATAAGATCATTTGGCTGAATCTGTTTGGGACCCATGTAATATTGACTAGTAGTTAGAAAAGATGATCAGATGTAATAAGCCCAGAAACTGCCTTTCAAAATGGACATTTAGACTTAAAGCAATGTTCCAAGGAGGACTTTAAGTACATCAGCAAATTTGTAAACTAACCTAAATTTGTTTGAAATTCTCATTAGGCTTTAAACTGATTTCAGTAAGTATACTATTCCATCTAAGATGGTCTGAAACAATCTGTTATTTGCATCGTATTTCGAGTCTCTCCTATACAGTCTTTTCCTTTTCTTGTTTTAAAGCCTGTTTGTTTGTCTGATGAGAAAGAGATGCTGTTGTAATAAATCATTGCAAAATTCATCTTTTTCTGTAAACCTAACAAAAATAATATATAGGACTCACCCTGATCATTTGGTAAACACACATAGAGCATATTGTCAGGATTATTGCTTATTGAAAGGTGTATGCTAATTTTTAAGGAGAATAATCTCCAACTAAGCCCTGCTTTTCTGCAGATCCCAAATTATGTGAGGACATGTGAGTAGAGATTAAAGTCCACCTAGTTCTATTGATGTTCTCTAAAATAGCGCGAATGGCTATGATACAGCTAACCTGGACAGAAGGTGCAGGACTGCAGGGATATCTGCATGTATTTCAAGAGGACAAATGTCTCTTTGTTGGACCATGAAATGGCAAACAAATTGAAGCTCAAACCCAATGATTATTTCGACTTAATGCTATAGGTATAGTGACTGAAAGATTTGTATTGTAGTTGTTTGCAAAGAAAGGTGAATCAAAACAGTCTCCGCATTTTAAAAAAGCCCCTGAAAGTTATAAACATGAAACCTGACAGTATATGCATAAAATTTATTCCAAAACTTTATGAAGTATAAAGGAAGGAAAGTGTTTTACACACAACTCAACTCAGTCAGTATAAGGTCTAGGTTTTTTTCCCCTTAAAACTTGGCACTATCTTTAAAAATAAAATAAAGATATTTCAATAATTAGAACAAACTATGAAGGTATTGTGCATTTCTGTTTTATGTAGATAATAAAATATTACTTTAACATAAATATATAAGGATCTCTGCGTTTTTATTTTCCCCACAAGCACATCCAAATGTACCAAAACAAAGTATTTTTAAAGAGACTGAACAAAAAAAATTACATCCCATATAGATTTTGCTCACCTACTCATTTAAAGCTACAGAAAAACAGTTTCCAGAACCTTTTTGCTTCAAAAGAAATAAATATACATTGAGGCAGGCCACTTAAAAATGATATGAAAATATTTCCCTGGGTAGCATTAAAAAAAAGGAAAAATAGACAAAGAAACATTTAAACTATTTCTGCATTTCAAAAGACAGATATTAAACATATATACATAGTGGTAAGGTTCAGTGGTAACTTTCATCTTAGTAAACCTACGAGAGTCAGAGGGGCTACCGACACATCCCCTGAACTCCAGTTCTGACCTTACCTACTTGGTAATAAGTATCTGAAAATTCATTTCCTCCCTTTACCATTGGCTATCTGCCCTGCTCTGGATTGCTTCACTAAAGGCCAGTCCCCACACCTCAGGAACAAGCAGTGTGACGCACCGAAGCAGCTCCGTGCCCATCTCCTTGTGACATTCATTGGGGGAAATGAAGTACAGGCAAATAAATATGCCCATTATAAGTCACCATTTATCTTGCAAAACATTGAAAATGAAACAATCACAGGAGTTTGAAAAAGACAATATAAAGCATATTTCCTAAAACCTTAACTACTGAGTGCAATGCTAATCTGATGCTGAACCATAATTTTATGGTAGTGAGAATTTAATCTTTTTAAATAAAAATTCGTCTAGTACCTAACCAGAAAAAAAGCCCCAAACTTTGAAGATGAATAAAAAGTGTGTTCCCTTTTAGCGCCCTTTTGTGCTGATTATTTTTGAAAATTTTAACTGATCACAGTTTAATGGTATTTATTTTCAATACAGTTACAAGTTTTTTCACCTACACTTCCCAGTAGAGTCTTTTGTATGGGAGTTAACTGTTTTCCATCAAGATAAGGTTAAAAAATGCACTTAAAACTATTAACAAAGGGGAGAAAGGAAGGATTGAAAATGACATCTTTTCCCCCTTCATTTGGCTTCCTTAGTGAAAGAGAGGGGAAAAAGCTGTCAAGTCAAACTGGTATTTTCTGTAGTAAATTACAGGAGATGAGGTGTGGGGCCCTAAATATGACTTTATAAAAAACAAATGAACTAATATAGACAAAACCAGTCTACTTAGTGGAGATAGTCTATGTATGCATATGAGTATTTGTGTGGTAAGAAACAATCTATGCATACATCATTAAGTTTTTGGGTTGTTTTCTATTTCTCTCTCTTTTTTTTTTTTTTAAAAAAAAAGCATTAGAGGAACAAAGTTTAGCCACTGCTGTCATTACAAAGAATTCCTCATAATTTTTAAAATTGAAGGCAGAGAACTATACAGAGATATATAAAGATATATATTTCCCTAGCTCTCTTCAAAGTGCCACTTTTTTCTGTTGGACAACTCTGAAAATATATTTAACCTCCACATTTCCTCTGAACTCTTTCACAATGGGCCTGCCTGATAAAATGAAGCAATCAGATATTCACTATCGATTTTTCTTTTTCTCCCCTCATAAGGTCCCCAAGAAACACTGCCTGAAAATGAAGTTTACTTAGTGGCTGGTGACAAAAAACAATGCTTGACTCTTATTTTTTATATGCAAACTGGATTCTTGCCTTAGATAAAGCGTGTAGACCATGTACATTTCCTGAAAGCAGAGAATTTTTTATTTTGTACGATGCCAATCATTTTGCTTTGGTAAAAGGAGAAATAAATGTTACACCAACGTAAGGAGGATCTGAAGGTAATCAAAGTTCACAAACAGGAAGGACAAGGGGCAACACAAGGATATTAGAAATGGAGAGCAGCCAAGAGCTGGCCTCAACTCTCTGCTGAATAAAGCAAAACAAAACAAAACCCCAAAGGCAATTCCAACAGAAAGAATGGGGAGAAAGCGAAAAATGTTCATGAATTTGTTCAAGTAAACTTCAGTTTTCTTGCAGTGCAAATTTATGTGATTAAATTTTGACTGTATTAAAGAATGTGTGTATTTTTTCCTCTTTCCTGATGGGAATCCACATCGAATAAACACAACAGCATGTGCCAGCTGCGAGCATCGAGGAAGCTGCGTTTTGTGTTTATCACGGTTTGGTGGATCTTTTTTTCTTTTTGGTAATTTATTTAGTTTTGCCAGGTATTTATCTCAGTGCTTGCCACCTCTTTCTCTCTCGCTCTCTCGCGCTCTATCACACACTCTCTCCTCACTCTCTCTAGGAGACACTCCACTCCCTCGCCTGGGTACTCGCCTGCAAAGGTCAAAACACATCATTACACCTGCTACCGTTTATAGGATAGTCCAGTGTCTTAGTTGCTTTCTTTTTTCCTTATTTTTTTTTTCTTTTTAAGGGAGGGGAAATAATAATTAAAAATAAAAGAACAATCAGAAGTTAGCGAGGGAACAAGGGGGCCAGGAGAGGGCCACGGACCCAAGGGGAGGGGGAGCCCCGCGCTCTGCCCCTCCCCCCCGCTCGAGTTCACTGGACGGGCGTCTGGACCCCGTGGTGTGGTGGCGTGTCCCTACTCCCCCCGTACACATCCTCGGCGCCCGGCAGAGTCCCTCCGGGAGGGGTCATCCTTTTCTCTTTCTGTCTCCTGTTACAAAACCAAACTCTCACCACCTCCTTCTCCAGCTGTAAGCTGTCCGCGAGGGAGGTGATCTCCTGGGCCGAGGGCTTGGGACATTTGAGGAAATGGCTCTCCAGAGCCCCCTTGACGCTCACCTCGATGGAGGTCCGCTTTTTCCGCTTGCGCCCCTGCGCCGCGATCTTGTCTATGCTCGTGGGGCTGCCCGAGGATGAGTCCGCCTCCTCCAACCACTTGTTCAACAAAGGCTTCAGCTTGCACATGTTCTTGAAGCTCAGCTGCAGGGCCTCAAACCTGCAGATGGTGGTCTGCGAGAACACGTTGCCGTACAGAGTGCCCAGCGCCAGCCCCACGTCCGCTTGGGTAAATCCCAGTTTGATTCGCCGTTGCTTGAACTGCTTAGCGAACTGCTCCAGGTCGTCCGAGGTCGGCGTGTCC